GGGAAATTCTTATTCGACTTCCACTATTGCAACAGGCAGCGCGCGCAATTACAGCACAGAGACCCTAGATTAAGATGGCTTCGTTGTACCCACCAATGTCACCTACTATGAGTAGGAAGAAAGCTCTTGTTGTTACTGGTAAATAGCCCATTGAATATTCTCAAGTAAATGTGTGAATAGCTATTAACCGGCTCTTCTGTTTGTAGATCCGCCAAAGTTCGATCTTGAAAGCTACATTGCGAATTATAAAGGTGAGATATCAAGTCTTCTGTGATATGTGATCTGTCATGGACCTTTGTAGCTAACATTTCTTCTTGTTCAGGCAGAACCAGACTTGAGCGACTCTATCTCATCGGCATCACCTCCACCTTTCTCGGCGTCGAAGCTCTAAAAATGCTAATTAAAGAAGCAAAGCGAGGAAAGGATGTCACGATTTACATGGATGCATGTACTGCTATGACCAGAATTGCGCCGAATGAACCAGAGGCTGTCAGAGATGATCAATGGATTGATGCTACAAATAAGTCCAACGCTGCGGAAGCTGCAAGCTTGGAAGCACAGTTGAAAGGCTATAAGAATAATTTAATCAAGGAAAGCATTCGGGTAAGTCATCATACTTGTGTTCCACAGCAGGTGGATTCCGAAGATTGACTGGCTAATGAATCGCCGAACAGATGGGAAATGAAGATTTAGGCAAACATTATGAAGCTACAGGTCAACTTGCACTTGCATTCGAAGCTTATTCTCGTATGCGACAAGATAGCAATATGTCAAGACACGTAATCGATGTTTCTAAACATATCATTGAAGTTTCTATTGAAAGAAAGGAATATATCGCAGTTCTTTCCAACGTTCAAAAGATGAGAGGAACAGTTGTTGGCGCAGATGATGAGAAGCTTATTAAACCATTTTGCCATGCAGCTGAAGGTATCGCACAAATGCATGCTGGGCAATATGCTGCTGCTGCACAAACTTTCTTGCAGACACCTCCAGGAATGGGTTTGACTTACAATACAATCATCAGTCCTAACGATATTGCTGTCTATGGAGGTCTTTGCGCTTTAGCCACTATCGATCGTAACAAATTACAAAAGACAGTTCTCGAGAACTCCGATTTCCGCGCCTACCTCGAAATGGAGCCACATATTCGTCGTGCCATTCAGGCATTTGTCGGTAGCAAATATTCGGCATGTTTAGAGATCCTGGAGTCTTACAAGGCTGATTATCTACTTGATATTCATTTGCAAAAGCATGTTGATGAGCTTTACACACGAGTTAGAAGCAAGAGCATCGTTCAATACTTCATTCCATTCAGCTGTGTTACGTTTGAGACATTGCACAAGAACTTCGCTCCACCTGGAAAGAACATTGAAAAGGAATTGGCAGAGATGATCAAATGTGGCGAGCTGGATGCTAGAATCGATCTCGTTGCTAAGGTACATTTATTTCCATTTTTCTTTGAAGAAGAAAAAACCTACTTCTACACTTCTTCCCCCTTACTCATTATCATGCTAACATATTCCGATCAGACCCTCGTATCAACGCCCAAAGCCAACCGTCAAGAAGTCCAACAAGAAGTTCTCAAGACTACAAAGCAAGTCGAACGTGAAGCTAGACAACATTTGCTACGTATGAACATCGTCGCTTCGGATATGGAAGTCAGATCACATAGAGAAGGTGGTAGAAGAGGCATGGGTGGCGGATTGGCTGGTGAATTATTTAGTGGTAATTAAGGGAAGTGTCGACGAGGGGCTGGTGACATGATGATACGATACGATACGATGAAAATGGCGTTTATAATTGGTAGGGGCCCAGGCTGATTCTCATTTGGGGCGGCGTCTATGGTTCGGGGTGGGTATTTACGGGGAAGGGTTATTCATGTGCGTTGCATGATAGGTACTTGCGGGCCATTTTATTTTCTCAGTTCTATCGGTTGAAAGAGGAGAAGTTAGATAGATGGTTGTTATTTCTTAGACATAGAGAAATACTATGACTTATGAATCTTAGTATGTATCATTTGACTCGTCTGATGCTGTGAAACTGTGTATGAGGAAGTGAGGAGCGTAATTTTGGAATGATTGACGGAGAAGCTGATATGGTGGAGATGAGGTTAATTAGCATGATGTTGAGGCTAATGGGGTATTCGTGGAGCAAGGAGGATGGCGTAAGTAAGTAAGGAATGGAGGGATAGAAAGAGAGGGTGTATGCAGAGGTAATGGTGATAGTAATGGGAATGGGAATGGAAATGGTATGTAGTGATTGGTGAATTCCAATGCAATGGAATAAAGAAAAGGGAAAACGAGACGTAAGTCTTTTCTGAGGAGAGTTTGAAGCTGTGAAGTTTGGGAGGGGATGGAGGGGAGGTGGGAGGTGGGAGGGGGAGGGGGTATGGAGGGGAGGTGTTTGTTTAGGTTCTTAAAGGCAGTAGATTCGGGAATGTGGATGGAGGTTGTTGGATCGTGGAGAATTCTTTGGGTGGGTTTGTTTGTGGGGTTTGTGCTTTGCATTAATTTTATTTTATTCGATTTTATTAGACTTGCTGTGTTTTAATGGATATTTGCCCCAGGGGAAGGAGAGTGGAGGAGCGGAGGAGGAAGAGTTTAGGTGATAGGGTTCAGATTTAGGGTCGACTTTGGGTTTCGATGCGGAGAAGAGAGGAGAAGGGTGCAGGGGAAAATGTGAATAGGGAATAGGGAATGGGGAATCTAGATTCCGAAGATGTGGAAATAGCGTTGTTAGGGGACGTCGTGGGGGGAAGTGGAGGTTGAACTTGAACTTGAATGCACGAATGGATTGGAAGGCAATTTGATATCAGTGATTGAATAGGAGATATTGATCTATGAATGAATACATGAGTTTCCAGGAATCCAAGTAAAATGAGAAAGTCTACGCCTGTGTTGCAAAGAACGATATCGGAGAGAGAAGAGAAGAGGAAAGGAAAGGGAAGGGAAGGAGAAGAAGAGGAATTTCAAACCGATTTCATGAGAAGCCCGAGAAGTAGAGTAGTATAGTGCTGTGTGTAAGTAATGTATCAATTTGTGGGTCTACATTCTATTTTCTAAGGGTACATACAATACACTACCGGGGAATTCTTCCATCATGACCTACATATACGTCATATTTTGAAGTCTAAGACAAGGGATAGAAAGGCATCGCGAATGACTTCGAGAATTGTTTGATACCCGATACTGTCTTGTCATTCATTGAATCTGATGGCCGTCAGATTTCAATCATCGATTTTCGATTTTGTGAATGATCAGCATAGGCTACTCGAAGTAGCCCAATACATCTTGGAGATGAAGAACATTTGTGATCGGAATGCTCTTACAGTAAGACTGAGTCCGGGGAAGTTTTCTTTTGGTGGAATTCTAGTTCAACTGTAGAATTGCTTATTGTGTTGAAACCGTGGTAGTGTAAATTTATTGGCGGGAGACGAAGAGAAAGATATGCCGGATTCTCGGGAAACGTATAGTAAAGTAGCGCTGTCGACGTGAAAACGATACTGAAATCATGGTTGGCAGACCGTAGAGATTTCTGCTGGTGTTCTGACAATAATGTGTGCAATCTTACATTGATAAAGATACCTCACACGCTTAGAGTCAGGTATACCGACTTTTGGAGAGCGTGGTTGATGAAAATATGATATGAGAAGCACAAGTAGCGGGCTTGGAGAAGTTCCACATGAGAGGACATTGAAGGTCCATGAAATAACAAAAAATAGTGCTAAATTGTTCCGCTGTTGAATGTTCAGTCTTTGGGTCAATACGCACTCGATAGTATTGGTAACAGAGGACATTAGTTGCAAGCTTCTGTCAAAGGCGCGAATCCGAAAATATGATGAACGACAGAAACATGTCACATATATCGACGTCGTGTATCTTGTGATTGACTGAGGGGCCATCCAGGAAACGCAAGAAATCCTTTGATACGCGATACGCGATATTGATAAAATGCGGCAGAGATGGTGTTCACATTAGTATTCTGAAATGGCAGGGAACTTCCATAGCCCAGACAAAACAATTTCTGTAAAAGATATTTGGAGATGTGTGTTTAAGTTATACTTAGCATATAAAACACGAAACCCTCCGGGGTTCGCTATTGATTCATCGAAGGGGAATATAAGCAATTTCAGCTACCAAACAGAGAGAACATCTGTGTATCGCTGCCGTTATTTGTTTTATTGTATGATTATAGTGCTCAGTTACGGGATCGAGATCACAGTATTCAGACCTATCACCTGTCATAACGATGGTATGATTTCAGCCCAAACTTTTGGTAAGATGGAGGTCTTAACTTTTTGCCATCAACAAAAGAAATCATGGTATATGGATTATGTAGCAATATACAATGCACAGTCTCATACAATTTGAAGCCCTTTGACACTACAAAAGGAAAATCTAGGAGAAGGGGGAAGCAGTCGGTCCCTCGCCCTAATGAATAAAGGGGGGAGATCGGAAGAGAGACGGGAAAGGAGAAAGGAGAAGGAAAAGAGTGATGTAAATACCTCCAATTGGGTAGCTTTTAAGGCAGGCTTCAGTACAACATGTGCAGCAGCACACCCCAGATTGTATTGCAATTCCCCTACTATCAAACTAAGGCTCTATAAGCATTATCAGATGGATTATCAAAGTTAATTGAAGTTCAGACATTTTCCGATCCACTTTATCGACGCCCTCACCCGGGAATAGGAAATCATGGTATAATCTTATCTAAAAGAGGTTTAGTGTGACACAAAGCTGTTGAGTTATACGGTGATAATCACTGTTTGGGGAGTCTGAAAAGCATAAGAAGCTAAGATATGCATGCAGTATGAAAATCCCCAGATTGAAGATGCGAAACTAAACCAAGATCACCACACTTATGGCAATTGAGTGAGCATCAAACATTGTAACGCGCAAGCTTTATATCCCTTAAAAGAACAAAAGATGTTGATATCATTTCAGTTGCAAAGCTGGACATTGAATCATTGTTGCAACACAAATGGAGTGAAGTGAAAGGCACTAAACCGCCAACAACAAGAAACATCCGCGACTGCATTGCGATCGGTCAATGGTAGACATTCCCATTTCGAGGTTGCTTGATCCAGGTGCTAACAAAGTCATGAGAGGGGTCATCAATTCAGAAGCCGAACACCATGGCAACAGGTTAGTTCGGGACTCGGCAAGGATGACACAACGGCCGATCCGATAGTCTCCCGACAAGACTTTTCTGGAAATGTGCGGGATGGTGGCTAACCAGCTGTTATTAGATATGGCGGGGTAATCATGAGCTGATAAATGCATGTGATCTGCCAAAGTACCGGCTTGTCGGGATGAAGCGAAGACAAGAAAGGAAAACATATGAAAATTGAGGGAATTCCCATGTATAGAGTGTCTCGAATTCGAGGTGGCTTGAGATATGACATATGATTCGCTGCAGAAGATAGGGTGGGTGATATTGGCAGTGCAGTTTCTAGGCACAGACAATGTTGAGTCTAGGAAGACAGTCTTTTGCGGCTGGGCCATTGATGAAATGCTGTTGGTGGGGTATCAAGTGTGCGTAAATCTGTAAAAATGGGCTTGAGAGCAGACCGGTGAACGGTGAACGGTGAGGATAAACAGGATAAACCAATCAGATACACGACGAGGAAGCATCAGTAGGCAAACAGTCTTCTCACAGGCACACGAGTAGATAGAATGTAGGTTGTTGTTGGCGATTAGTTGTGTATAAGGTTTGATTCGTCAAAACCCAAAATAGGAGTAGTGGAAGGGGCCGAACCTAGTATGGTCGACTGAAAAAGAGGACTAATTCTTGACCTTTTAAGGTACGGGCAGGACCGGTATTATAATATCGGCGATGATATGAGCTAGACCGCTGCAAAAGATCTTGAGAAGTTGAGATCTTGACCGATAGTGCAACACCAAACATCAGTGCGGTCATTGTTCTTGTCTTGATATCGTATGCCGGTAGGTATCGTAACTGCAAATCTCCAAGTCTAATCTAATCCTCCCCGTAAAGGCTGTCTGTCGTATTCACATGTGGATTTGGAGAAGAGACGAAGTATGCTTGCGGATATCCCCAATCTTGGAAGAGTGGAGAGAACAGTCCGTACTCGAGTAGATGTGGAATAGATGCGTGGTTCGTATATTCCGTCCATACTGAGTAGATAGATGTTGAGTATATATTCGGGCGAGGAGTTGATTTTGTTGAAAAAGACGGAGAGCAGATCTACTTCAGGGGTTATAAAATTAGGAACATAAAAGCAGCCTTGAAGAAAGAATGAAGCAATGGAGTTTAAGGAAACACAACTGCATACGCGCTTTAAATGCATCGCTGCTTGAAAACGACTATCATTGGAGGATGTAGGCGTGGAGGGAGGTGAGAGGGGGTGTACACGCTCGTTGTGTTCAATGGAAACATTAGCAATCTCGAAAGAAGTGACACAGGAATCTGACTGAAAGAGAAATGTACCTAGGTAGGTAATGGATGTGTACATGAATGACTACTTGGTACATCGTGAGACTTTGCATTCACAAAAGAAGAGTCCATGTTTGTTCGTATGATAACACAGCAAAGAGTAGCCTCAACACCCAAAATACCTAGTAGACTTGCACTCAGATACAATAAATGATAAATACTTACACTTTTCCACTTGCACTTACCTGCATGAGTACATGTTGGTGGCCTTCTTACTTGGTGGGATGGATGCACTCATTCATTGAGGTGATGTACCTAGGTGAGTATGCTTCGAAACAAGTGAATGCCACAAAACCATTCATGACATTGGTAGTTCTCTTGATGTACTCATTCATGGATACCTAGGTACTCATAGATAGACACTCAAGTAGATGATGGCTGTGGACATTCTGTGGACATTAGATGAACATTCTCGCAAACATTCTTGCTTACCATCATCGTATTTCAGTATTAATCACGTTCGCAAAGGGAATACAAGATATAAACCGTTGGCTGACTCGTGTACTTCCTCCATACATGTCGAGATGCAGTCAACAGTCCATGATAGTCAACAGTCAACCAGTCCTAAGCAAGGCATAAAGCTAAACTGATCCTCCAACTTGGCTATTCTGCTTCTCCTCTCCCAGATTAATCTCACCACCCCTCCCCCTTCGTAACCCCTTCGTAACCCCTTCATCCTTCCAACTTTTCTTCCCTCTATACTACTCTGCATCACATCACAGTACAACCAGGCAGTCTTACTATCTTTGTGAAGAAACAGAAACGAAATCATTCCCCCCAAAGCGAGGATTTGTATGTGTGTGACTTGGAATAACTTCAAAAGTTTCAGGTATCCCACCATATAAAATTAACACCATCCGATTGATACCAGAAAGAGATAGATGCAAGAAAAAAGAAAGGAAAGGAGAGGAAAATCCGAATCACCGATATATCATAAGAAAATTAAAAATTTCCCCTCCTCTCTTTCTACCCAAAGACTCTTTTTCGACTCCGTCTGGCTCTCACACTCATCTTGATTTTTTTTCTTCTGTTCTGTTCCTGGCTCCACTGCTTGCTTTGTACGGCCGTTCTCGAACCTTTGACCTTTTTTTAAGGCGATAAACGAGAGCGCGCTTGTTGAAAATACAAGAGAAATCCGACAAGCCCGTAACAACTTCATCCCTCGACTTGACAACCACGAAATATTTTCGAGTCGACAAAGATCACTTTGCGAAACTTCATTGACGATTTTCAAGACGAGATTATCGCATCCTTTGCGACATAAGCGGCGAAATCAATAATTCAAAAAGGACCGGTGAATAAATCATAACAAATCACCTCGTTTTCACATACCTGTTTACTCAGAGTTCTATTCAGCTTAATACAGTTGGTGACTTCTCGAGCCCAATTTGTTAACACTGCCACAACATCACGACATCAGGAAAAATACTCCTTGAAGTGTAATTTTGACGTGGTTTTCATCAAAGAAATCCATTGAGGCGGATTCAACTTCATTGTAAGTTCCTCGAACCCTCCTTAATTCTTGTTGAGCTTCGCTTCCAACATAATCAAAAGGCTCTATTTACATCAAGTTACCTTGGCATAGACTAATTCATAACGCGCAGCAGATCGAGAAGTGAAGTGAATAAAAGCCCTAGCGTAAACACATCTACGAATTTATAATCCACTGTCTTTTGACATCCACCTGCTGCGGATTACATTACAACACCCACAGTCAAATTCTCCTGAAGGAGGACAAACGCGATGGCAGAACCAGAAGTCGATCTCGACTCTATCATCGATAGACTGCTAGAAGTTAGAGGCAGCAGACCAGGCAAACAAGTACAGCTTTTGGAACAAGAAATTCGTTATCTTTGCACCAAGGCTCGCGAAATTTTCATCTCTCAACCCATCCTCTTAGAGCTCGAGGCACCAATCAAGGTATGATATTAAGCATTCATTTGTTCAATGCGCTAGGCTCGCAAAAGCAATACTGATTGAGTGGCATGATTATAGATCTGTGGTGATATTCATGGTCAATACTACGATCTCCTCCGTTTGTTCGAATATGGTGGATTCCCTCCCGAGGCTAACTACCTCTTCCTTGGTGATTATGTTGATAGAGGCAAACAGTCTCTCGAGACTATCTGTTTGCTCTTAGCATACAAAATCAAATACCCAGAAAACTTCTTCATCCTCCGCGGTAACCACGAGTGTGCCTCCATCAACAGAATCTACGGTTTCTACGACGAGTGCAAGAGAAGATACAACATTAAGCTATGGAAGACATTTACTGATTGCTTCAACTGCCTCCCCATTGCAGCAATCATTGACGAAAAAATCTTCACTATGCACGGTGGTTTGAGTCCAGATTTGAACTCCATGGAGCAAATCCGTCGTGTCATGCGACCAACTGATGTGAGTCCACCAGATAAAGCTTTTCATTTGCCAGCTCTCAATGTGCCATGGGAGGAGGCCAGAGCTCTTGCTGATATGAAACTAGATTCCTGATTGCGGTCTCCTTTGCGATCTCCTCTGGTCTGATCCAGACAAGGATATCACCGGCTGGAGCGAAAACGATCGTGGTGTATCATTCACATTCGGTCCCGATGTTGTTTCTAGGTTCTTACAAAAGCATGATATGGATTTGATATGCAGAGCTCATCAAGTCGTCGAGGATGGTTACGAGTTCTTCTCAAAGCGGCAATTGGTAACACTCTTCAGTGCGCCCAATTACTGTGGAGAGTTTGACAATGCCGGAGCGATGATGAGTGTGGATGAGAGTTTGCTATGTTCATTCCAGGTAGGTCGCAATTGCAGTGTCCTCATTTTCATGAGTGTTATGTTAATTTTCCTCTTCCAGATTTTAAAACCAGCGGAGAAAAAACAAAAGTACGTCACAACAGGTGGTCTAGGTGCCTCCAGCAGGCCCGTCACTCCGAGGAAAAAATAAAAATGATCAATTACGAACTTCCTTTTGTGTAGCAGGTTCGGACGCAGATAAGCTTAATTCGCGATTTTCCACGCAACGAATATCACCCTCGATCAATATGCGCCCTTTCACCGATCGCTTCTCTTTGGGATCCGTCATCTCACCAGACTTTTGCAAGTATCCTCCAGACACCTCGATCTCGACCAAATATACCTATTTGCGCGACACCTTCCGCATCCTACCTTTCGTTTCCTTATTCCTCTCATTGCCAAATGCGACTTTGTACACAACAACTTTTCCATTACGCTTTTCGATCACTAACACTAAGGATTCCACTCGATACGTTTTTCCCAACGACTTTCGGCCGAATCACGACCTTTTGCTTTGAATTGACATGCCAGCATTTTCACGACATGACGATAGATACATGGGACGTTATTCGGGCGAGTTTCGGTTTTCGGGTATTGGCATTCGGATTTTGGGATTCTGGTTTTCATAGAAAGGCGGGAGGGGAATTTTCAGAGAGAAGGCTCATGACGGGTAACTCATAATATTTGTGTTCATACGTTTGAGAAGGGGGGCAATTGATTGTGCCGGGCAACGAGATAAAGAAGGGAAAAGGGAAGGAAGGATGTGCATGGGTTGAGCACAGAAAGCAGAAAAAATAACTCAACGATGCGAATTGTACCTTTGTTCTATGTAACTGACCTTTTTTTACTACACCTTATTGTCACTTTTATGAGACGAGCTATGCGTGTTGATGATTGATTTTATTTTATTTGGTTTGATGAGTGAAATCATGCTTGTTAAGAGTTTGTGTATGTTGGGGGGATAGCGTGATGATGGTGAAGGAAATGGATTGTATGTGCCGTATGGGCAATTGCATGGTAGGTTAGTCAAACTCTCTTGCATCTTTTCTTTTGATGTTCATTCTAGGTTGAAGCTATTCGTAGTTTTAGCTTTGGCTTAGGCTGGTCATCGCCTATTGTATATTTTCTTACTTTCTTAGGTTGCCGCCTATCTTTGTTTAGTCTTGGGTTGTCTTCTTTGCGTGGGGGCACACTATGTTGTTATTATTATTGTGGTTAGACCTGATGATTGCAGAGATACTGTGATGCTGTGATATGGGTAAGTTTAGGGAGGTATTGAGGTATTGAGGTAGATAGATGCTAGGTAGATATATTCTCTCTCAAGGGCGGACAAGCACAGCGGAGAGAGACAAAATGGCAAAAGGAAAAGGTGGGAGATGGGAGATGGGGCAGGTGGGATGGGGGAGGAGGGAGGTGAACAGTAAGATAGGATAGGATAGGATAGGATAGGAGGATCGTCCATGGGTGGTGCACAGACTATTATTGTGGGAAGGAAAGAAAGAAAGAAAGAGAGAGAGAGGGAAAGAAAACTTTGATTTGTGTTTGTGTTTGTATTGTAATTTGTGATTAGAATTATCATTATCATATACGAGTAATTCTTGATAAGTTGTTAGTTGCAATTGATGGGGGATTTTTTAATTTGTATTGGATTGGATTGGATTGTATTGTATATTGTGGTGTGGTGTATATTGTGGTGTATGATATATGTTTGTATGCTTTAGTACTATTACTACTATGGTAAGAGCCCTGGAGTGTCTAAAACTTCGTAGGAAGATGAGATGGGTGATGTAGATCGGGGGTTAAGTTTGGATGGGATGGGTTGGATTGGGTTGGATTGGGTTGGATTGGGTTGTTTAGGTTGTTTAATTTGATTGTTTGCGGTGTAGGTGGTTTGGGTTGGATTAATTGGTTTGTTTTATATCGTAGAGAAAGTCAATTGAAATGAAATGAAATGAGGTTGTGATGATTTTTTCATAGGGGGTTCAATCTGTTGACTATTTGATTGTTTGATTATTTGGAGTTGGGTAGTTGGGTAGTTGGGCAGTAGGGAGGGAGTGTTGCGAGTTGAGTCTGTGCATTTGGATATATTGGTGGATGGATGGATGGATAAGAGGGTTGGGGTTTGCCAGGGGGAGGGAAGGGAAGGTAATGGAATGGAAGAAGGTGGGTGATGGTGTGGAAGAAGGTAGGTAGGTGGACTTGGATTTGGATTCTGATGGATGGTTGAGGTGGTATGTGTGTGATTTGGGGTGGAATGGCGGGGAGGAGAGGAGGAGATGAGAAGGAAGAAGGGGGGGGGGGGGAAGGGAGATTGATATGTATAGATGTTAGAGTATGGTATGGTGTTGTATGGATGTAGATATAGATATAGATATAGATGTAAATGTAAATGTAGATGTAGGTGTAGATGTAGGTGTAGATGTAGATGTAGATGTTGTGAGCAATGGGTTCATGGTATTCAAAAGTGGACTTTACTGATTGTCTGATGTAGGTAGATACTGTCCACTTTCTTCTCTGGAGCTTAGAGATCAGATATTGTGAATATAGGCTCCGATGCAATCACCAAATAATACATATACCATGTTTCAACCTTATTCTCTCGTTCTCTGGTGCTCCTATCCCTATTCCTCCTCATCCCAAACCCCTTCCAAATCCACATGTACCCTTATCTCCTTCTCCCCCATTACCCTCCATATATTCTTCAACTGTTTTTGAACCTCTTCATCTCTGCTAATCCCGTTCTTTCTTTCACCATTGCCATCGTTACCGCCCATTCCACATATATTCTCAAACCCAACCATATAGATCCCCTTACACCACGGCGTCCTCGCTATCGCTTGTTTCCAAAGCTCTACTATTCCATTTGCTTTGCGATTCATTTCTTCTCTGCTATTTTCCCTGCTGGCGGACCCTGGTCCAAGTATCAAAGCTTTTGAGGATGATATGGATGAAGGTGAGGATGAGGAAGGTAGAAACTGAGGGTATACATCACAGAATAGTAGATACAATCTCCAAAGCGCACTCGAACTCGCAAGTCCAGAATCCAAGTTTGATTTTGAACCTTTAAGATTTAATGCCGAAACGAATGTTGAGTTTATCGTATTGAGATTTGGTGATGCAGATTGAGTGTTCTGAAGATAGTGGTGAATAATGTTGAGATAGAGGGGTAGCATGTTATGAGTTGAAGAAGTCGAGCTATGCAAAAGATCAGAGAACAAAGTGCTCAGAGTAATCGGGCTCATAAGTTTCGTAATTCCGAGTCCCGGAGATGTGAGGAGGGAAAAGAAAATCGTATTGTTTGGGAATAAGCGTAGCGAGGTGGTGAGTTGTGAATGAAGGGTTTGAGGACGATAGGGGCCAGATTTTGCGTGATGGTGTAGCAGACGGGCTGTGGATTGGTGGAGGAGAGATAGGGGGTAGGCTAATTGTGGCGAGGTTAAGCGGGAAGAAAGTTGGACGGAGAAGGCGGTGAGAATTTCGAGAGCGGAGATGATGTTTCCTTGTTGAGGAGACTGGGGCGCGCTTGTGGAGGTGGTCGTTAGGTACTTGAGGAGGGCAAGGAGTTCGGTGTACAGGACTGCGTGTGTAGATTTTTGTGCTGTGAGGAAATGATCGCGGGCGGAGGAGAGATGTTGTTGGGTTTTGAGGAGGGCAGTTGGAGTTATTTCGGTGGGGATGATTGGTTTGGGAATACCGTGAGGGATGGAGAGGAGGTGCGACAATGCAGTTTCTCTACATCCGATCGAGATGTTTGCCCATATCAGACTCTTCCAGAGGTAGACTGAATCTTTGTTGTCGTTGAGGTCTGGCGAAGAGAGCATAGATTGATTCATCCCTAAAGCTGCAGTGTAGATTCCATTTGACATTTCCTGGTTGCCCTTTGACCATTCGATCATAGCGTACGCATTGTAGAGCTTGAGACTGGAGGAATGTTGTTTAATGAGAGTTTTAGCGACCTTCTTGATGGTGGCGGGCTCGTTTATCCATTCAAATGCTAAGTAGTATTCTGCGAAATCTTCTATTGGATATGACTGTGTGAGTTGTTTCAAAGTGTTGCGAACCCACGAATAAGAAATGGGTCCATCATCCTCATTACCGTATACTTCTCGCCATGGCTTGAAGCTACTGAACCAGCCGTTGCTAAACATAGATTCTGGGGCCATTGCAAGAGTCGTTGTAGGAGTTGCAAAGACTGACGAAGCTTTCGTTTCTTCGCTCTCAATCGATTCCTCAGTAGATTTTTTCGTGTACTTTTCTTTGACCCATCCAGAATCATAGTCGAGCATCTCATTATATAAGCAAGAATCATGGCTCCAATCCAACCTTGACTCATGATCTTGTGTAGACATAGAAGGCAAATGACAAAATATCAAAAACGCATTCAAGAGAGATCTTCGTAGGTACTCGGCAGATTTTGGCAATAGCAAAAGAAAACTCTCGATATCAGTGAACAGAATGACTCTATAAGGATCGTCTTCCACAGTATCATCCATGGTTCTTGCAGGTACTCTAGAAGCTTTGCTACGAAGAGATTCTGCGATGACCCAGCTTTCAAAGAGGTCTTTGCCATTAAGTGACATCTCTGGTTCATCGGTCTGGATATCTGGAACTGGTGAATCATCTCCTGTTTCTGCAAATCTTTTCCAGCCTAGAGAGCCTGATTCCCCAATTCGTGGAACTTCTGCCTCCCAAAACTCACCGAATAGCTCAATTGTTCTGTTTTCCACTAGCCCTGGCGCCTCATTCTCAGTGCGTATAGTCATCGGCCCTTGAAAATTTATCTCCAAGATACCTTGCCAGATTGCCACTGCGAGTTCTGTGAAGCCTGATTCACGGATGAAAAGAGTGGCCCTGAGCACTACATATAGGAGCTGCTCGTAAAGTAATTCCACAGAGCTCCATTCTGGCGCGGCACTGATGCTATTCTTCAAAGAACGAATCCTACCGAGGAATACTTCACGCACATCCTCATATCTAAATGTTGGAAAGTTACTTTGTCTGAAATTTAAGTACTTTTTCCATAAGACGAGACTATTGATGTTGTCACTTGCAATCTGTGCCCATCGCTCAGCTTGAACCTTTATTTCCCAAATCTTTGCACCCTCCGCCATCAGGCCAAGAAGTAGTCGCTCGCGGTCCTGTAGGTAGTGA